TTTTAGAAATTTAAATTTGGAATTAAAAAAAAAACCTGTTAATTTTTTTAAGTTTGGAGCTTTTGTAGTATCTAGATGTGGAAACAGAATTAGGAATGTTAGATAACTTGCCCACATCACACAGGTGATATGTAGAAGAATTTGGAAAGAAGTCAGATCTGTATCCAGTCATTCTGACTCCAAAGTTCACACTCTTAACCACCACACTAATAATTACAACCAGACAAAACACCCACTGAAAAAATTTTTTCCAAGGTCAAACTTTTTAAATTTTCTTAAGTGGCAGAGGTAGAATATTTTTTCAAAGAACTGATGTTGGGGAAATAATTAAAAATACAACCTGTCAACCCACTGTACCCTTTCTACATATATAGGAAAAAAGAAACAGTTTTATTATTGAATAAACATTCAGCCAGACTGTGCAGTGCATTAGGCAACGTGCTAAAGAGATTGCAAGGACAGAAAGAAACCTCACCCTTTTATACAACTATTACATACATGTGAATTGTCTTTATCCAAAGGAAAAATAAAACCTTTTTGTTTTATTTAGACAAGCAGGAAGTTACAATTTAGAGCCAGGAGCCTAGGCTGAACTTCCAACAGAAACAGGGAGACAAGGCATGGCTCTCCCTGATGTCCACATTTCAAAGAGATCGTTCCAAGGTAGACATTCCTAGGATGTAAAATTGGCAAGTGGCTTCTATAAATCTTAAAAAATTTACATGCTTCTTAAAGAGACAGAGAAAGGATTTACAACTACAAGTTTTCCAAAAGAAATGCTACAAGAAAAGGAGAAGAAAGTCTCTTTTCCTTTTAGAACCAGCGAAAATTCCATTTTTTTCGTTAGATTTGTAGTTACTTTCAACTAAGCAACCTTCAGTATCAACTGAGGCTATTAATTTAACATGGGGAAACATGGACTTCTCTTGAGTTAATATTACAAGCAGGTTGATTGTAAAATTCTGTTGCTAGGAAGTGATCAAATAGGTCTGCCGGTGCAAGATAACCAGAGGTACTACACGAATTCCATTTAATTTTTCAGTGGTATTTATATTTTGCTAGGAGAAAGCAAAATCAGAATCCCATCACCCTTGTGCTGAGCTGACAGGTGAGAGGTGGTCAGTTAGGATTACAAGCCAAATTGAAGTGATTAATCCAAGCTTTATTCACTTACCGCAGTAGTATAAGCAAGGGGCCAAAAAGAAAAGGCTGGCTCCTCAGGGTTCCATTTTCCCCAGGGAATGACACCAGGCAAGGTTCAGCAAGTGGCATGCAGCACAGAGGGGAGGAAGCATCTTACTGCCTAGGAGCCTGGCACAAAAGACTCCTATTGTTTCATGGGTAGGGGAAGGCCTAGGAGTGGAAAAATAGAGTTAGAGTGGAGAAAAGTGTTTCAGTGAAGGTTTTCCTTACCCCATAAGGAGAACTGAAAAGTGCCTCAGTCAGGGCCCTGAATGGAGGCACCTGGGCTAGGAATGCAGCAATGCATGTGAGCATGGCCACCGGGAGTCTGGAGCTGGGGGAGAGGTCAGGGGAGCTGAATTCTTGACAGCAGCTCCCTCCAGAGATTGCGGTGCACAGGCTATGCACCAAGTCTGGTGTGGGGAGGGCAGCTTTCCCCCATGAGGCTCTCCAGGCAAAGCTTTTGTAATTGCCTGTGGTCTGGGCCTGAAAGAAAACACATTGGATTTTGGCCCGGAGCTGGGCTGACCTCTAGAGAAACAGTTGCCTTCAGAGTTGTTGCTGCTGGATTGCAGAGAACCACCCTTCTTTTTCACCCTAATCATTTGAAAAATCCTAGGAATGTGGGGAAAAGGATTCAAGAAACATATAACTTTGAGCGGCTCACATGGATGCATACATGTGTTTTGTATCATTGTGGCTAACTTAGCATGATTTTAAAACAAAATTGGCATTCCACTTTTCAACTCTTTCCTTATTATCTTCAGAATGGGAATGAATCACCATGAGATCATGGAAAGGTTTCAACAGACAGTTCAAAACTATAAAGTGTCTGCACATAGAAACTTATCTCTCGGAGATGGCTATGAAAAACAGGAGATAACACAGCGTATTTTAAGTTGGAAGTGTAGTTTTCTCTTTTTCCCAGACTCCACAAAGAGACAGAGCTGTTACTGCTGGCTACGCGGGATGAGTGTCTGCTAAATGCCTGAAGTTTCCCCTAGCCACTCTCAGGGGAATGTGTGGCCTTCAGGCCGTACTTACTGCTCTGGAGACCACAAAGCAACCCTAGCATATTTCTGAGCACAGCCTATTCTGCTACAACATAGGTTTCTAAAACAAAACAAAACAAAAAGCCAGAATGAGAGGCAACAGCATTTATTT